CCCGCGCGAAGCGCGGAAGCTTTTACGTTTCATTAAATCATTAGAAAAAGAAGACGATTCGTTATACCGTTCTCGACTCTTAATCTTCGTCTAAATTCAGTTCCACCCCTCCCGCGCGAAGCACAGAAGCTTCGACGTTTCATTAAATTATTAAAGAAAGAAGACGATTCGTTGTACGGTTCTCGAAAATTATCCTCGTCTGAATTCAGTTCTCCTTCCCTCCCCCGCGCGAAAGCCTTGACGTTTCATTAATTCATTAGAGAAAGAAGACGATTCTTATTACCATTCTCGACTCTTAATCCTTGTCTAAATTCAGTTTTACCCCCCCCCCCCCCCCTTCTATGGAAGCAGGAGACCGTCAAAAACATGGATATACGTCGTGTCGTAATTCGAATTGCCACACTACCTAAATAATTACGTCGTGTAGTAATTCGAATTGCCACACTACCTAAATAATTACGTCGTGTCGTAATTCGAATTGCTACACGACGTAATTCCGAATTACTGCCCAACGATTTAACGTCATGACGTTAAATGAATTAACTACACGACGTTAAATAATTAAGGTCGTGTAGCAATTCAAATTACTACACGACCTAAATAATTACGTAGTGTCGTAATTCGAATTGCCACACGACCTAAATAATTACGTCGTGTTGTAATTAATTACTGCTCAACGATTTAACGTCGTGTAGTTAAATCATTTAACGTCGTGTAGTTAATTCATTTAACGTCGTGTAGTTAAATCAACCAATGAGGTCTTTCGTAATATATGCGATGCGAAGATCATATTTGCGCGCCAAAAATATGTATACGATGCGCGTTTGTGTGCGCTATAGTATGGAAGCAGGAGACCGTCAAAAACATGGATATACGTCGTGTCGTAATTCGAATTGCCACACTACCTAAATAATTACGTCGTGTAGTAATTTGAATTGCCACACTACCTAAATAATTACGTCGTGTCGTAATTCGAATTGCTACACGACGTAATTCCGAATTACTGCCCAACGATTTAACGTCATGACGTTAAATGAATTAACTACACGACGTTAAATAATTAAGGTCTTGTAGCAATTCAAATTACTACACGACCTAAATAATTACGTAGTGTCGTAATTCGAATTAACACACGACCTAAATAATTACGTCGTGTTGTAATTAATTACTGCTCAACGATTTAACGTCGTGTAGTTAAATCATTTAACGTCGTGTAGTTAATTAATTTAACGTCGTGTAGTTAAATCAACCAATGAGGTCTTTCGTAATATATGCGATGCGAAGATCATATTTGCGCGCCAAAAATATGTATACGATGCGCGTTCGTGCGCGCTATAGTAGTGGCCGGTCTTCGCATCGCATATATTACGAACGGTCTCATTGGTTGATTTAACTACACGACGTTAAATGAATTAACTACACGACGTTAAATGATTTAACTACACGACGTTAAATCGTTGAGCAGTAATTAATTACAACACGACGTAATTATTTAGGTAGTGTAGCCATTCGAATTACTACACGACGTAATTATTTACGTCGTGTAGTTAATTCATTTCACGTCATGACGTTAAATCGTTGGGCAGTAATTCGGAATTGCGTCGTGTAGCAATTCGAATTACGACACGACGTAATTATTTAACGTCGTGTAGTTAATTCATTTCACGTCATGACGTTAAATCGTTGGGCAGTAATTCGGAATTGCGTCGTGTAGCAATTCGAATTACGACACGACGTAATTATTTAGGTAGTGTGGCAATTCAAATTACTACACGACGTAATTATTTAGGTAGTGTGGCAATTCGAATTACGACACGACGTATATCCATGTTTTTGACGGTCTCCTGCTTCCATAGTGGCCGGTCTTCGCATCGCATATATTACGAACGGTCTCATTGGTTGATTTAACTACACGACGTTAAATGAATTAACTACACGACGTTAAATGATTTAACTACACGACGTTAAATCGTTGAGCAGTAATTAATTACAACACGACGTAATTATTTAGGTAGTGTGGCAATTCGAATTACTACACGACGTAATTATTTAGGACGTGTAGTAATTTGAATTGCTACACGACCTCAATTATTTAACGTCGTGTAGTTAATTCATTTAACGTCATGACGTTAAATCGTTGGGCAGTTATTCGGAATTACGTCGAATTACGACACGACGTAATTATTTAGGTAGTGTGGCAATTCGAATTACTACACGACGTAATTATTTAGGTAGTGTGGCAATTCGAATTACGACACGACGTATATCCATGTTTTTGACGGTCTCCTGCTTCCATACCCTTCTGCGCGAAGCGCGGAAGCTTTACCTTTTATCAAATTATTAGAGAAAGAAGACGATTCGTTGTACCGTTCTCGACACTTAATCCTCGTCTGAATTTCAATAATGTTCTTTGTCTACTCCCTTTTCTTCCTACGTCCTCTTCCTTTTCACTCCTCTCTTTATTTGGCTGGCGTTTTTTTAGGGACCACCCCCACCGCCCCCTGGATGAACATATGTTGATACCTTGTCCGCCCCCGGTAAGCTCAGGGGTTTAAGGCAATAATTTACGGTCAAATTAGCATTCAGGGGTCCGCCTTAGGGCCCTAGGCGGGGTCCAGGGGCAGAGCCCCAGAAGTTCAGGGGTTTTAGGCATTTAATTACGGTCAGACGAGCATTATTTTGATACCTAATTGTGACACTTGCAGGTCACTAATTGGCGTGGGGTTCAGGGAGCGGAGCCCCCGGAAGCTCAAGGGTTTTAGGCACTTAATTACGGTCAGATGAGTATCAAGGGGCCCATCTTAGGGCTCTTGGTTGGGTCCAAGGGGCAGAGCCCCCGTAAGCTCAGGGGTTTTAGGCGTTTAATTACGGCCATATGAGCAATTTTTGATACCTTATCATTTTGTGACACTGGCAGGACACTATTTGGCGTGGGGTCCAGGGGGCAGGGCCCCAGGAAATCAGGGGTTTGGGGCATTAAATTGCCGTCAGATGAGCATCTAAGGGCCCGCCTTAGGGCCCTAGGTGGAATCTAGGGGGGCAGAGCCCTCGGGGTTTTAGGCATTTAATTATGGTCAGATGAGCATATTTTGATACCTCATTATAATGTGACACTAGCAGTTAACTATTTTTCTTTCTTGCTCTCTTTCTTTCTATTTCTCTTTAATATACTTTTTCAAAAAAAGTGTGGGGGGGTCGGGGATCCTGATCCCCGCCGTTTCGCGGTCCCTGATATGTAGGCATTTCATAAAGCATTTTCTTGCCTGGCTGAAAATTTATGAATTTGTCATTTTCCAACAAACAACTTTCCTTCCTTCCTTCTCTTTTATTTTTTGATTGGGGGGGGGGAGGCGACAGCCTGGAAGGCAAGTCCTCCCCCCCCCCATCTTCTTCTTCGCTCTTTTTTATCTTCTTCCTCTTCTTTTTTTCGCTTTCTCTCCTATTTCCCTTCCCTTTCTTTTCCTTCTCTCTCTCCTTTTTTTTTTTTTTTTTTTTTGCGGGGGGGGGCAAGGCCCGCTCGGCCCCCCCCCCCCCTGGATCCGCACCTGCCTACCTCAATATGGAATGAAATCATAACAAATTCGATACAAATAAAGTAACTAAAATATTTCATTATTTTAGTTAGTGATTATGTCACATTAGTTTCATGTTTGTACTACAGAGTGAGTCAAATAAAAAAAAGTATACACCTAGCAAAATTCCTAATTATTTTAAAAATCATTTATAAACAGTAAACTAAATGTGCTTTGTGTGTGTGTTCCTTGTGTGTGTTTGTGTGTGTGTGTGTGTGTGTGTGTGTGTGACTTTGCTTCTGAAAAAAGCATATTGCAATGCATCTCATATGATACATTCAATTCATTCTCTTCCTTTGAAACTTTTGCGCAAGTCGATTCTTGCACTGTCGCAAACAATGTCTCCTGTTCATCCAAACGTGAACACATCACACAGAAATGATACCAAACGACTCGGGACATAGCAATCGTTCAAAACATGTAAGATAATCTTTCATTCATAGCTGACTTTTAAAATAAATGACAATTTTCCGAGTGTAAACTTTTTTTTGACTCACACGGTATATATGATATGTTACAATCGCGTGAATTCTGTATTTAAGCTCTGTTGTAAATAGTTATTTTATAATATGAACAAATAAAGTCCCTCGAAAGAGGATAAATGGAAGAAAAAAATAAATCTGTATCTCACTCCTTTCTCCCCAATCACCTAGTTTTCTTCTCTCTCTCTCTCTCTCTCACCTTCTCTCTCCCTCATCTCATTCTCTCTCACTCATCGTCCCACTCTCTCTTTCTCTACTTGTCTCCCTCCTACCAGCTCTTACTCCCTTCCTCCTCTCTCCTTTATCCCCAATCACCTAGCTCTCTTCTCTCTCTCTCTTTCTCTGCCTGTATCCCTCCTACCAGCTCCCGCTCCTTATATCCCCTTCACTCAATTCTTCTCTATTTCTCTACTGCTTACTACAATTACTTATATTTTACCGTAATTGTATAATGTACCAAGCGACACAACAGACAAGTGTGTTTATCTCCCCTCCCCCCCCCCCTTTCTTTCTCTCTCTCTCTCTCTCTCTCTCATTATGAAGAAAGGGAAAGAGCAACTGTGTTATAGGACACAAAGATCAGATGACATGTGCTCCATGGTCTATCCAGGGTATGTGATCTATCTCCTATCTCCTGCACGAGTCCCTTCTACATTCATGTTTAACCCTAGTACCAACTCTGTACCTTAACCTAAACCTCTACCTAAAGGTAACCCAATCACAATGCTAGCCCTAACCATAAATGTCACCTAAACAAATATCAGGTTACCACGAAAGAATTGAGATTTATCTTTTTTCTTTTTTATTCATGCAGTGTAATAACATTCTATATACAAATATATATAAATGTCTAGATAACATACACAGCCTAATAAATTCAAACTAAGATCTTTTGTTACTCAATGAATATGTCACCTATAGAATGTAGACAAAAGCATGAAATTAGTAAAGCTTGTTTAGCTTGTGAGAATGTATTTTGCTTAGTCCATCTACCAATTAGAAAAGTAATCATCTGTGACAATTTGACAAGAACCAATTTGCCTGTCCATGATTTTGTAGAAAAAAAGAATGCGATTCCAACTATAAGCTCGGATAAATATGAATCTCCCTAAATTGATATTAAAACATTTTATCCAGACACCAGGGCCCTGTTTCACAAAACTTGTCATCCGTAACAAGGTACCATAACTTTTATAAGCTACTGAACTCGTGGCATTGATTGGCTGAGAGCAAATTTGTAAATTTGTCATAGCAATTTAGCATTTGTTATGGAGAAAAAGTTTTATAACACAGGGCCCAGAATCATGAGTCTAATATAGGTATTTTGTGTAATTACTCAGTCCATGCATTTCATACGAAAATATATAAACAAACCATTTTCCACCTCTATATGTATAATGAAGTTTGGTATGGGTCAAGGACTGTCAGATTAATCCACAAAGTACCTCAAAATACTTCAAAATATGAGTATTCCAAGGCGCTTGTCTGTAAAAGTATACAACTATAAAGGCCCATACTAATAGAGTATACAACTATAAAGGCCGATAGACTAAGCAATCATTATTTTGTTTATAAATTTATGAAAAACTAATAAAATTCAGCTACAGAATATTTCTAACATTTACATGCACCTAACAAATCTTATCATTCTTAAAATCCTTTTCTAAGTATCCTATTCTAACTAAGTATCCACTTTGCGACGTTGAATGCTAAAGTGTGTATGTCTATGATGTTGGTCTCAAAGAAACGATTATTTTTGACCAAGTATACCATGAACCATCTTCAAAGGCATGAATCACTATTACAGATGAAGACCTGACCCTTGTTAATGAAACGGCCATTGCAGCAATCGGGCGATGGAAGAACTTAATTTAAAATTTAATTTAATTTAATAAGGAACTTTACATAACTATCTTGATCTAAGGAGACATGAACGAACGAACCATTACAATATATATCTGTTTTGACCACAATACTAAATAAACTTCAAACAAAGTTTGCACTCGAAAGCCAGTGAGGCATTAACATTTTGGGTGCTTTCTTCAACTCTCTGCAAGGTCACTTGTTTACCACACGTGCACAAAACGATAGACGCTACTAAACAAAACGATTCATTGTGCATCACGATGGTTTTGCAAAATTACCCGTTACTAGGGTCTTGATTATTTCCATGACAACCCTTTTAATATCAGTATAGATTAATCTTGCACTGGACATAGTTCAATAATCTTGAAAGCCTTTGGTAGGCCTATATCTATCCCATAAAAGAATAACATTGGCTAACATGTGGCAAAGGGACGATATCTGCATCGCATATAAATAGTATACATTATATGAGGTAATGTTATTCTGACCATCAGAAAATGATGAACTTGTGCTTGACTTATATCGTATTGTGAACAAATTATGTTTTAAACGTCTTATTATTGTCAAGATAAGTAGCATAAGTAAGGGACATCAAAAGGCCTGTCATACACTTTTAGAAAGAGTTAGCACCTTTCTGTCTCTGAATAGACAAATCATAAAGGCCCAAATTCACAAAGAGGTTTAAATTCAACCCATGGTTTAAATCTTTATTTACATAACCCATAAGCGTGACACAGACAGAGGTCCAATATTTTGCACTAATTTTTAAACCATGGGTTATGTAAACGAGGGTTTAAAGTAACCATGGGTTAAGTTAAACCTCCTTTGTGAGTTCGGGCCCTAGTGTTTACATCACAAGAGTGGGCACCTGCCATTATTGCTTGATGGTAAATAGTTTAAACTAGAGATCCATGTCACAACTCATCATTTCTGCTTCCTCCTAGTGCTTTGACTGCAGACTTCATTGCTTCAGTCACTGTAAGGGATGAATGAGAGACAAAAAAATATATAAAACAAGAGAAACCATAATTGCAAAATTTCATTCAAAGCTGAATATATGACAAAGATTTGACAAGTGGCAATAAAAGGGAAATAAGATTTAGAAAGAAGTTGTTGCACAATTTAATAAATTGGAAATGAAGTAAGGGAACCCAAAAGATCATAATTGATATTTTTCATAAAAAGGTAATTATATGACAAAGATTTGAAAAGTGGCAATAAGAGGGCAATAAGATTAAAAAGAAGTTGTTACATAATTTAATAATTGGAAAAGAAGTACCGGTAAGGGAACCAAAAAAATATAATTGATATATTTCATTCAAAGCTAATTAAATAACAAAGATTTGAAAAGTGGCAATAAGAGGGAAATAAGATTTAGAAAGAAGTTGTTACACAATTTAATAATTGGAAAAGAAGTAAGGGAACCAAACAAAAACGAAAGGCATTGAGTTCCTACATTAGCACTACCAGGGGATCTTAATTATTTGTACCTTACTTGTAGAATTCTCAACTTTGTTTTTGCAGATTTGAATTTGAAGTACATGTACATGTACATGTATGTTCAGGAGATGTAAATCATTTTGAAAGAATGATTTGGCTGAGCATGCAACCAAGCATATTATTTTGTTGTACCTGTCTCTATCGAAACGTTGGGTGGGGTGGGGGAAGGGGCTACATATTACACCCCCCCCCCCCCTAATCTGCAGATCAATATCTATAGGAAGTGTGTTATATAACCTACTAAACATATACATGTATCACTCATGACTAGCTGTACATACCCATTAGAGCATTTGAATAGAAGTACTTGTATTGGGGATTTCCTAACGTGTTGATTAGGTCAGGTTGAACTACGCCATCTGAGTTTAGAAAGAGTATACGAGGAATGTATCCACCGTCGGGTTGAAATTGAGACCCTTCAGGTTCCTCGTCATCCTGGGGAAGATAACCATCACAAAACATCACAATGAAAGTTTGATCTCTTAACCCTTTCAGTACCATCATATATACTTCTATCAACTTCAGCTCCAACTTTTTCAACTCCCAAAGTAAATCTTTTGATCCACTGGCCCACAATTTTAGAAACAAATCCCCTGCATTTTTGAACAATATTAATTCCCTTCACTTCTTCAACAAAAAAAAATAAACAAATACCAATTTAACTTCATGTACTTAAAGTGTACCCATAACCAAAACATATCTTGCTCGTGATGTAACGGGTTCCAAGTCGCTCTATTGAATTCAAAATATAAGCTTCAAATATTATTTCTACAAAGAGATATTATAGTTTAAATACGTTCTCAGTAAAAAGCCAACACACAATTATGCACTCGCATAGAATAGGGTGCGCATGAAACCCAAGTGTGACTTATATTCTGTGTGAACCTTTTATGCAGGATTTTATGTTATCCTTTATTGTTATTATTTATTATCCTTTACCTGTGTATACACTCGAGGATAGTGCCTCGTATCATTTGAAATTACTATTGTCATTATTCCTAGCATAAAATGTTCAAAATAAGGGGCTCAAGGCAAATCTGAATACACATTCACATTCTAGTTTCAGATTGGCTAAAAATTTCATCCATGATACGTGAACATATTTTCAAGAATCCAGGCTAACTCGGCTCAAAGACAAGTCGGCCCAGCTGCAAAAATGGTCAGTTTTTGTCATTTTACCCTAACTCTAACTCTAACCCTAACCCTTAACCTACCGGGTAACCCTAAACCTGCATAAACTGACCGTTTTTGCAGCTGGGCCGAGTTGTCTTTGAGCCAAGTAAGCCGGACTCCATTTTGAACTACTGAGATATCATATTATATTATATATATATATATATATATATATATATATAGGATTTTAAAATGACAACTCACCTCTACGTTGACCATCACAAAGTCACTGCTTAATTTAAGTATTTCTTCACTGGCAGCAAACTTGGGTTTTAATGCTACATGGTGAAGACAGGAAAGGAAAACAGAGAGATATCAATGTGTGGAACACAATGCAAAGTGTCACAATGGGGTAACATTCATCAAGATAAGAAGCAATCATCACTTTACAACAGGGCTCTGCACTATTTTTTTCCATGCGGGGTCCCCCCCCCCCCCCCCCCCACTCAGTGTTATTTATGGTACGCATATGCATGTTCCCTTTTTTTGAAAACACCCCCCCCCCCCCTAAGTCTGGTGTGTAAAGTCAATACGGGCCAGATTTTTGTGTACTACGAGCCGGACTTTGGTGCGTGAAAAGTATCCCCTTTACCGGACATTTTGGTAACACGCATTGTATCACGCATGGTATATGTACGAGGCTAAGATCCCATGACTTAGATTGTAAGTAGCCAAATATATCAGTCTAGCCACTGTCAGTATTAAGCTATATTTGGCAAGTTTGATGATTATCAAGTTAAGGGTATGAATAATTTAGTTGTTAAATTAAGGTCTCAGAGTAACAATAAAACTTGGAAGGAGAATTGCATCAAAGCATAAAGTCCTTTGGTCCAGGGCTCTCTTAGAGGCTTCTGTTTATTTTGTTAAGATAATCTTGATCTGGTTCAATCTGAGCCATATTTAGAAACATTTCCAAACAAATTCCATGACTAATATTTCATGAGTAATGTTTGTTGAGAAGGATTTGGACCTGTGTGTGTGTGTGTGTGTGGGTGTAAATTGATTCTTACCGACGTGATATGATTATGGGACCAACCTTTAACGTCACCATCTGAAAGACATTGCTTATTTTCATACCAAGGTATGCTTGACCCAGTTTGTAGGCAAAGAAAGCATAAATCATAATTCATAAAACATGTCTATTTAAAATTCAAACCTGTTGCTGTTACAAATTAAAAGCCAACCTGTTTCCACAGTTCCATTTTGCATTAGTCACTTCAAATTTGTCAAAAAGTTTTCTAATACACATCTAAAGCTTTCCTGCTTCCTCTGTCATTTGATCTCAAATGAAGAATACAAGATTATTAATTCACCTTTACATGCTCCACACCAAGTCTTGTGAATGACCAACATCATAGGTTTGTTGCTGAAAGAACAATATTATTAGAGATCACATGGTAATATACACACATACATACATACAGATCCAGGCTAACTTAGACCTGGGGACAACGCAGCCCTGCTGCTAAAACTGTGATTTTTTGGTCATTTTTTGGTCATTTATTTAACCTAACCCTAACTCTAACCCGAGCCCAAACCCTAAACCTGCAAAAACTAATGGTTTTTGCAACGGGCCCCAGTTGTCCCGGGTCCGAGTTAGCCCGTCCCCATACATACATGTACATACATAGTTTTGTGCTTTGGCTCAAAAACTTTAATATTCCTGGGTCCATATTAAATTCAGTACACGTCAGTATTATACTTAGTATTTTACTTCGCTAAGAAATTCTGATTGCATCTGAGCATTTACTTTTAAAGCAAGCCAACTGCAAGGTAAAATAATTACTGACAAGCATTGTGATGTCACACGGTCACTCCAAATTTATGTGCAACAAACCCATCGCATCATATGCACCCTTATAATAATTGTGCGCAGCATTTGATGACCATGTATGAAAATTATATGCCTGCCAATCAGGCCCTCTAGAATAATTGGTCTTCTAGGGAGTCTTATCCAACACATGTAGATCACAACACCTAGGCTCAAGAAATGTTTTAAGTTGGCAACATATATACATGTTTAAGTTTAAAATCAATACTCCACAAAAAATTTGGCATAACTTCAGGAAATCATTTATTTCCTACTAGAAAAATACACCAATCAGCATCACCCATTTGAAGAAAAAGAATAATGTATTTTAAAAAAAGTGATGTATGGGTTTTAACCATTGAGTAAGCTACTTATCATCATAAACTTACTTCTCTTTGGCTAGCTTCAATCCATCTTCAAAGGTAACCCAATCATATTGTTCTCCTAAACCTGTTAAAAGAAAAGAAAACATTTCTTTCACAAGTGCAGGTTTTCTTTTTCCTTTTTTTCAGATATAAAACTTGATTTTGAAATTAGACAACAATAATAATTACTGTATAAAGGTGAGCGCGGGGGAGTGACGCTAAATTCAGCACACTCCCTGCCCTAAGTATGCTGAACTAATTAATGTCAATTGGTGACATCATCATCCTTTACGCGCAGTAACAGTTTAAACTACGGCTGCGAGAATTTCAACACAGGGTGCAACTTCGACCAACAAAATGCTGAAAAAAGACATCTAAATGCATCATACAGCCAAGCCTAGGCTTAATTTTCAAGTATAAATGTGTAGTGATTCGGCCCAAGCCCCTGTGGCTTTTTGTGCATGTGGGCGAGTCGTTGTGGCCTGGTTTAGAATAGAATAACGTTAGATTTGAACCAATACTGAAAGTCAAAGGACGCAATTTGACAAGTCGAGCTGCTCCTTGCTTCGTGCTTTCGTCCCCGACTGGTATACCTTCAAACCTTGTGACGTTAGAGCACGTTTTTATTTCTTTTTTTTGTATACGGTATGGTTTGGCGGGAGGTTTTTTTGGAAACCGGGAGATAATACATCGTTGGCGGGAGAGCGGGAGAAAGGCGTGGTGGCGGGAGTCTCCCGCTACAAGCTTTTGGGGCGCCAGGAGAATGAGCGTGGTGGCGTGAGACTCCCTCCAAATGCGGGAGGGTTGACAGCCCTGAGTAACTTGTTGCTCGTCTAGCGTCTTGCCCATGTCAAAGACAGATTTGTAAAACACATTTACCGGACGAGTCATCTTGACTAGCCTTAAAGGCTCCCTGGAAATGTTTTTTATGATATGTTATTCCAGGGAGCCTTAACCGGGTCCCATAGTACTGCACGGAGAGACATGTAAACAACACCTTAAATGTGTCCCAAATCACACTTTCCCGCACCCGACCAATATTGGACAGTGGCCTTGATGAATTGTGTCGGACTTTTAGTCCTATATAATTACCTCCTGAATTTAAAATCGGAGGTAAGAATAACAAAATAATTTCAAATTTATTACCAGCGCTCTAGCGCTGGATTTCAGACAGCATGCATGCGCGTAAATGCATGCGCATGCAACGACTTGCATACCTTGCCGACGATATATCTACCCATATGGCCAAAGCTGAGATTAGGGAGGCCAATGCCCAAATCTAACTTTCTAATTACGAATTTGTTTAAAATAAAACAAAGATTAAAAGAAAGCATTTACTTTCACTAAGAAAACTCACCCATCTGCCGACTCCAGAAGTTCCATAAAATAGGAGATATCCAGCTTTTAAGCACTCCCTTCCTTCTACGCTTGGCCGTACGCAAGAGCCTTGAAACAATCAATTTCATGGTCCCAAAAATTACGTCGAGAATTAGACAGGCCCGAGGGAATGGGCGTGTCATCATGGTCATTGCCCGGACAACAAGTTCAAAACTTCGCGCGAAAGTACATTCATCATCACCGGCTAGCCTTGAATTAGTCGCACACACCGACACAGTACTATAGGCCGTCCAGGTACGCGATCGAGCCATGCTAGCCATGCCATAATGAGAGAAAGCTCGAAAACCACTCATTGTAAATTAAGAAAATGATTGAAATAAATAAAATGGCCTACCTTAGTTTTGATATGTATTCCAATTATTTCCTCATGAGTAAAGATCAATCTGACACTGCAAAATCCAACAGTTGCAGCGAACACAATACGATCGATAAATCCAACAGTTGCAGCGAACACAATACGGAATCAAACATAGTCAATAGGACTGCACGCATTGATAGACGTGTACTGACGGAGATATTTCTCTCCCTCTCTCTCTCTCACTAACCATGATGATATCATACACTAAAGCACACACGTTCAAATCATGGCATTCATTACACTTCTCAATTGGAGTATAGACTGCTCACGTAGACTTTTTTTTTTTTTACTGAAATGTCTTTTTTTACACTTCTCATACATTACTGCACGACACTGGTGTCTAGTGCTGAGAAAAAGGTACTATGTGTGAGACTACGTCAAATTTGTTTTGCGCGCGATGAGACCGGACCTCATACATATTCATATTATGATGTCGCAAGACTTCTATTTTGGGCTGGAACAATGACGTCTTTGTTCACAGTTTTGCTCCCCAATTTGAGATGGCTCTAGCTATGGGGCTCAAACCAACGCAAGATTGACAAAAACATCGTACTCTATCTACCTTTGAATGTGCAGTTTGTAAAAATCTGCAATTAAAAAAATATAATCCTTTTTCGTTATATTTTCTAGTTGTTAAAAGTGACATTTGTGCACAACTGATATGTTAATCTCTATCAAAAGTTCTTTGATATTAAATTGATTCCATATTTTTAGGCGCTACCTTCAGTCATTGCTTACTTTGCTTAAGTCGGGTCAACTGCCCGAGCTGTGATGGCCATCCACACATTCCTGTCCAGCATGGCTGCTTTTATCTCTGACAGTTCAAGTCCCGTATCCTTCTTGAGTAGGTCTGTATAAGTAAGATGAGGTCTTCCAGGTTTCTTCTTCCCGTGTTTAGGCTTCCAGAGTAAAAGCTGAGATATTGGTTCATTGATGTTCCTACAGCTGTGGCCTGCAAAACGTAGTCTTCTTTCCCTGATCTTTTCTGATACTTTTGGTAGATTCCCGTACAGCTCCTTATTGGTTATATGCTGGCTCCAGTGCACGTTAAATGCTGTCCTAAGAAGTCTGGTGTAGCAACCATCTAATTCTTTTGCCAGCTTTGTTGTAACTGCCCATGCTTCGCAGCCGTATAGAAGCACAGTCATTGAGAAGGATTTTAGTGAGCTATAACCTCATCGCCCTCTAGGACCCGTCTAGTTTCTCTTGTGCGTCCGTTATTTTCGTCTGCTAGCGCAATTATTGGATCAAAATACATAAAAATCTGCAAGATCGTCAACAACTGGTGAAAGACCATTACAGATCCGTGATTATAGGTATGCTGTGGAGTGTGTAATTGTGTATTTGTTATACATTTTATTCCATAGATATTTGTTTTCTTTTTTTTTCCCTTTTTTTTTCTTCTGGTAATTTTCTGACTTGGACGACGAGCGCACAAATCGTAGGCGTAGAAGCCTTACGCCCGGGCATTGGCCTCCCTACTGAGATGAGCCGACTGTTCAGCCAGCTAGCTAGTATAGAGTTTCCAGGTCGTGATAGGCGCAAATCACCAAAAAGTTGACAGAAATAAAATATCAAATATCAAATAACATGGTACACCCTCCTCCTCTTTTTCAAAAAATCCGGACGATCAACATGTAATCAATTTTACATGGCCTTAGCTCCCTTTTAACGTGTAGTGTGTGACTTTACGATCTCTACACAATGGTGTTGACCTCTGACTGGCACTTCGTTAATGTGCTGCTGCCGTAGGCGCTAACACTCATACAGCGCATATTAGGTACCGTCTAGGCTAGGCCTATACCGTATACGGAAGCAGCACAATCACGGAAATGCCAGTCAGAGGTCAACACCATTGTATCGTAAAGAGATCGTAAAGTCACACGATACACATGAAAAGGGAGCTAAGCTGTATCGGTCTGGAAAGAAATTTGCAATTGTTTCATTATTTTCTCTGATCTGGAGCTGGATGTCTTTGGAAAAGTGCAGATTTTTACATTGCAGTCCCATGCCTTGATAATTGTGTGAGCATTCATTCCGATATTTCATTAAAATAGACAAAAATTACTTACCACGTCCCTTAGTGTCCTGTGCTAGCGCACCACCAAGCACAACAAGAAATGTACCGATCAAAAGAGTTGAATACAGCTCCATTTCGATATGATCCTGATATAGACGGATAGAAATCACTTAAACTCGAGAACCACCGGAGTTAAACAGAATGATTATGAAGACGTGGCCAAATTTACTATACCGTACGCTACATATACATAGTAGCAAAAATAACGAGCGCCATCCAGCGGTGCTATAGAGGTCAGTGGGTGCTACGGTAGATAGTTCCTATGGGGCGCCATGTGACACATGTGTGATTCCGGCGTCAGATACTAGTATCATCACTCCAAATAATTGATTTTGCCCAGGGTCTCAGTCTTGTAGAAGTAATGTAAGCACGCGTGACCACATGTTTTTCAAACGCCCCCTAAACAAGGAATTATTGTGAAGCCAAAATTCACCCTATAAAGTGAGGATTTCGCGTGTTTTTATCACGAATTATACATTTATACCCTAAACTGGTATTTCACTATTTAAAGTGTACTCCTAAACAAGTATTGAGCATTTTGAAGTGAGATAGGGCCCCTATCACACTTCAAAATACTAAATACCTGTTTAGGAGACCATTTAAGTTGTTTACAATGTTAAAAAAAAATCCAATTGCGCTTCTGAATTTAAAATTCACAATGTAAAAATGTATTTCAATAGAAAAAGTATCACATCAACCTGTACACTTCCATAAGGGTGTAATATGCACAGCCATCATTTAAGTCCTTTTTTTTTTTAAATTAACCAATAGGCCTACCCTTAAACGCGTAGGCCTACAGCAGGATTTTGAAAAAAGTACCTTTTTTCTGAAATGTCCTCTTTTTTAATACGGCACCGCGTGGACAGCGTTCACTGAGCTGGCTGAGACCCCTGGGCAGTAGCGTACGCAGGATTTTTTCAAGGGGGAGGGGGGGTTTAAGCGGACACTTCTAATTTTTTATTTTTGGTCTCGGAATTTGAAAAATTGACATTTTGTTCCGTTGGAGGGGGGGGGTAAGGTCACCTTTTTTAGGTCAGCCATTGGAATTTTTTTATTTATTTTTTTTAATTAAAACAAAATAATAAAAATCTCAAAGGGGGGGGGGGGGGGAGGAAATACTGATTGACGTCATCTACGCCTTCAGTTTTTTTATATGTGTTTCTTCTTCCATTCAAACCATAATTATTGCAAGCAAACCAAAATGCCCTTTTTAATTGAAAACAGCAATGTGTTATATTTATCCTTATCATTTCTGGTAAACAAAGCTGACAATGTATTCAATTCAAATTCAAAGTTTATTCAATACTCTTAATAAACACATTTAAAACATACATCTACAGAATGGAATGATAAAAAACAAAATAGTGATATAGTCTAACATGAAATGCTAAATGAGAACGAACCTTGAATTATTAAAATTGCCCATATATGAACGGCTGGCCGAAGAGAAGGGGAAGTGGTTTCTTGAAAAAGAGCTATTATCTTATAAAGAAACTTTGGAATTGAACAAACAAAAGAAAAAAAAGATTGAAAATAAAACATTATTTGTATGCCTAAATGTTGCGGTAATTTGGATGTGACGGATGGTTAGCGAGAAGCGCACCTGAAAATGACGTATGATTGGAGAGGAGCGAGAGAGGGGGACGATCGCCAGGGGTAGGAGGTAGAAGTGACAGAGTGAATGGTATTGGGAAGGAAAAAGAGAGAATATTATATAATAGTGAGCGAAAGACAGAGAAAGACAGACACAGAGAGAGAGAGAGAGAGCACGCGATATGATAGAGCTAATAATAATAACTAGACATAATACTTGTTTGGAACAAGTATAGGTGGGCTGATCAACTAAAATTTGAGACAAAATAGAGCAAAAATAAGCGAGATACTGCTAAAAAACAATGTCATTGATGTAATGATGTAAACGAAATTCACCTTCCATAGGCATAACACGAAACTTCAGAAATTTCAGATATGTGCCCTTTAATCGAAATTTTTACTCTGATGACGTCATCAAAATGAAAAATGATTATTATTGAACTTGTAGAGAATTATCTTAGCTACAACATATCGAAATTTTGAAGAAAATCGATCAATATATACAGAGATACAATCAATTTTACATAAATATGCTGACTTCATAATATGCTAATTCGTATTTTGAGTTCCAAGGCCATTATGATGATGTCACGATACACTTAATGGCCAAATGAGACATGGAATCATATTTCCGACTCATACTCTATTTAAAAATGAAAAAAACATTGAAGGTCACGGTTCATTCCAAAGAGCTATAATGGATTTTGTATAGGCATGTTTTTGCCCATATATGCTATGTAATAAAAGAGCTCGCGCGCACGGACATTTATCTTGAATTGACGCTCATCTTGTTATTAATGGTCATAAGGAGATAAACATGGTATCAAATTCTTCGAAAAAATATGAGAAATATCATGAAAGAAAAAAAAATGGCGATTCTTTGTTGTGTAATGGTGTTACGCGCGAAAACGCGCGCGCATGCTCGTACGCGCGATTTTTTATAAAATGCTTAAAATGACCTGAAACGTATGCAAAATTAATTTGAGACGATTTTGAGCATTTAAAAATTTTGCGCGCGGACGTACGCGGACGCGCGCGTTTTTTGATCTGAAATTGACCGGACACATATTGACCTTGATCGTGATAAATATGAATGAGAAATGAATTACCGTTATGAAAATATGATCATGAGTAAATTTTCAGAAAATTTCACAAAATGGCGCCTAGATGACGTCATCAATCAAGGTCAAGGTCAGATCAGAGAAACGGGGAGATGACATTAAAATGTAAAGGAGTGATAATACAAATTATACAGAAATTTAAAAAAGCTGAAGATGAACATTAAAATCATCAATCATTAAACTATAACATATAAGTAAAATAGATAAGAATGTTGCATACCGTTGTCTATAGTCGATCAATAGTCTTTCATTAGGATACCACATACCTTTGGGGCCTATGTGCATTATTATTCCCTCTCTAATAAATTCTTCCAAATTATATTTTCAATATCAAATCAATTATATAACGAATATATATGAGATCCTATAGAATAGAAACTGGCTGATAAAAGGTATTTTGCCTAAAATTCCTCGTCACCATAAACAAAAAAGTACGTATTCATAAACTATCACATTACGGTATCCTTCAACTACCTTTTGATTCGACTCTCGACAAAAAACACCCACTGGTTTTTCTTCAGTTTGAGAATCTTTACAGAAATCTACACATCGTTTGATGATCTACCTATGATAATGACACTATTTATTAGTTATTTTTGGAGAACTAATATGTATATATATTTTTTGGAACAATTATAGCCCCAAAACTTGTTTTGGGTTATTCGGGATAAATCAAATGGATCGTGACCGAGACTATGTTCTTTAGCTGATAGTATCGCGATATATCGATATCATGTCTGGCATGGTTTTGTGAAACGGTTTACCCACTTCATGACATATCCGTAGGTCGCCGACAAAGATATGACTGTCAAGTATCAGCAATATGCTGAAAGAACTTGATTGGACCACTCTACAAGAGCGCAGAGAAAATGACAGGCTAACTATGATGTATAATATATACACATCAATTTTGCTCATCAGGACTATATCACACAAGTCACCCAGTCGACGAGAGCCACCCAACCACATTCCTATCAGATGCCATACGTACTAAAGAACTAAATCGCATCGGCATCTTTCCGAGAACAGTAAGGAGTTGGAATTCCCTGCCCTCAGAAATTGTTGCAGCGCCATCTTTTGGAGCCTTCCGTAGTCAAGTGCAGACGGTTAATGACAGTGGCTAGTCTTCCTTCATCCTATACATGAACTTGTAAATATTTGTAAATATACTGTATTATATTGTATGTAGCACTCGAATGGACGTAAATTGCGGTTCACACACAATAGTTTGCAAGAATCTTCAGTCAGTTGAAGGAGGCAGACTTAATCAGAAGAAGAAGAAGAAAAGCTCGTGAGAGAGATTAGGGGAAGAGAGAGAGAGAGAGAGGAAGTGAGGGAGAAAGCGTTAGTGAGAGAAAGGGAAGAGATGAGGGGGGGGGGTCTGACACAGTGCATTGATTTGAAAAGAAAACCTTATCCCGAGATAAAGAAGCTGAAAAGAAAAAAAAACATGTAACAGCGGCGTATAGCTACGAGAGCATAGATGTTGCCGTTTATCTATCTAGTAAGGCCGTGCGTGTGCCCCCCCCCCCCCTCCCCCACGAAGCACGTGTCCCCTCGATGACTGCATCCACGCTATATACGCCATTGAACTGCAGACCGAGAGAGAGAGAGAGAGGAAAAAGGGAGAAGGAAAAAGAGAGACAACAAACCCCGGCGCCCAGTCAGTGTTATTTCAGTACGCATATGCGTGTTCCCTCCTTTTGAAAACACCCCCTAAGTCCGGTGTGTAAAGTCAATTTTGTGTATGTACGAGCCGGACTTTTGTGCGTGAAAAGTACCCCTTTACCGGACATTTTGGTAACACGCATGCGGTCCGATTCCGACCCCGGAGTGGGGGGGGGTGGGGGGCAACAAACAGAACTTTGTTATTCCTGGCTCATTTTTCTTCATTGAGGTGTCATATGAAAGGGCAGAAAATAAACTTTCTAGAAATGTGATTTTCTCTTTCAAATTCTCTTTCAAATTCAGATACCGCCCGCCAAATGTCTTGTTGGTACCCTTCTAGCTTCAAATTATTTTTAATAACTCATGCGTGAAATACGCATCACATGAGTTGCATCAAAATAAGAGGAGGATCTAAGCTTTACAAATATGTGTCATTTATTAATTATAATTGTGATCAAGTTGTGATAAAACATCGATAATTTTCGGTTTCGTTTTTACATGGAACGCACTGTATAGGAAGTATGCAATAATTATTATAATTACTGAACTAGAGTTAATGCTTAAAGATAAACTTGAGTACTGGTAATGCGATTGCATTGTGAAAGAAAGTTGTTGAATGGATCAGAAAAGTTGATCATATAGCATGTAAGTAATGGTGTGTAATGCAAGATTCTAGAGTCATCAAAATCATCATAAATTTGGCAGAGTCTTGGTAAAGTAACAATCACTTACACAGATAGATGTATATGGGACAACACACATGGTGTCGGGGCTAGTACTACCCTGATTTCCTTAT